ATATCCTGGTTGTGCCTCCAAATGCTTTGATCTTCTCACCTCTCATCTCTCCCGTGACTGAATTTGAGCCAATATATGTATTTTTCATTTAGATCCTTATTTCTTTCTTTCCTAGTTCAGTGTTTCCCAGCCTTCCCAGAGTACTATACCTCTTTTAGGAGTCCAATTTGTCTTGCATACCCCAAGCCATTAACATGGCTGCCGCTTTTTTCCAGGTTGGAGATAAAGCCTTTTCCGGAGGATCTCTTATTCCTACTTTCAAAAAGGCTTTATTTTCTGGAGAATCACGTCTAGACTGGCGCTTTTCTCCGGCTTATCTCCAAGCCGGAAAAAAGCGGCAGCCCTGTTTATTTAAATCCCACGGGGGATATTTCAAAGTCTACATTAGCATCCCTTTTCCAGAAAGGGGTGCCAATGTAGACACAGCCTATGAGCTTAGGTCAACGTATTCAGCATTAGGTTAAATTTGTAATGAGTGTGTTTACACTACTGAGTCCCTCCCATTGACCTAATGGGCTTTTAAAATCAACCCCTGAATTCCACCTGAATAAATGGAGTGATGCCAGAGTCCACATTCATGTCTTGAAGTAAGGGCCATATAAACACTGAAGTTTTTGGCCTCTAGGTGATTACCCAGAGCACTCTGGTGTGATGCTCTGGTGAACACTTGGAACTCCAATGCTCTTCAGTCAGGTGAGCAGCAAACCCCTTTGGGGAACTTCTGAATGGTTACTCCCTGTTGGAGCAGCATGGAAAGCTCACCAGTCCAGCTGAATGTGTGTGCCCAAAGGCATGAGATCACTCCACAGGGATCTTCAGGAGAGATGTTATATCTGATTGTGGGGAGAAGGAAGAGGGTGTGCAGGCAGACCTCTGAACCAGCAAAAGAAATGCGGATATCTATGCCCAAATTGCACAGGGCACAGTGGATAAGGATTACACCAGGGACACATAGCAATGCCATTTGAAAATAAAAGGACTTAGAGAAGTGAACCACAGGACAAAGTTAGTGAACAGCTGCTCTGCTTCTGAGCCACAGATATGGGAGAGTGGCGACAGGCACCCACTACCACCCACAACAATGTTTTCATCCCATGAGGCATTGGGACTCTAGCCCAGGATACCAATCTGCTGCAGTGACTATGGGAAAGCTACCCACAGTGCATCACTCCTTGAGTCTATGCAACCTCAGTGAGGATGTGCTCTGTCAACTACAGCCACCTAGTGGGGACATATAAAATCACATTTTTAAATTGGATGCTCACAGTCAAATTAAATAAAATCAGCCTAATTTTATAGTGTAGGCATACTCTTAGATAGAAATGCATCAAGCCTTTACCACAACTAACAGCACCTGGCTGCAGGGTTATGTGACTCCTATTTTACAATATGGCCATTTTTTAAATTTTTTAAAATTTCATTTAATTCTTAAGTGACAATTGTTTCAAATACATTTTTAATGTTGTGAAAGTCCCCCTTCATACATTGGAATTACTTCATACATTGGAGCTAACTTCCTCTTGGATTCACATTTCCTAACTCACATACTGTAATGCCCATGAGATTATCTCTCTGAATGAGGATGCAAATACTACACAAATAGCCTCTCTCGCGATAGCCAGGCACTTCCACTTCCAGTCAGAACTTTGGAGTGTAGAGAAGAATTAAATAAAAAAATAACAGAAACATAAGCTAAACTGGTTTCTATGGAACTATTCATAGTCCCCAATTCCAATAAAGCAACTTCAACAAAGCCCCTAAAGACATGATAAATATAGATAATTTGGTGAATCAGGCCTATAATGCATAAAATTAACCACATGCATATGTCTTTGCAGGATTGGGGGTTTTGCTGGCATTTCTTGACTTCTGAGAAACTAACTGTGCCACTTGAAAGGTCCCTGAATCTATATTTAAATGGTGGCAGTACATATCTGCCCCTTTAAAGTTCACATCAGCAAATTACTTCTAAGATATCTGCCATTGTAAATCGCAATTGTTCTCTTTCCCACATTCATCCATCTCAATGTTTTGGAGCAGATTTACATCATAAGCACAACAAAACACAAACCTTCTAATCTAATAAAGTTTTGTTTGTTTGCTTTTAAATAAATTTTATTCTCAGAGTCTAGATATTTTGAATGTTCCACTAGCTTCTCCTCTTGACAGAAAATACATGGCCAGTTACCAGCTCCATTCTTTCACTCCAATTTTCTGTCATTACCCAATGTAACAGGCAGCTTTCTTATGCAAATTATCATTGTTCTCAATATGTTTGCCCGGTCATAGAACTCCTCATTTCATGTTATTTACACAAGATTTTTTCCCTGAAAATTACGCTGCACCAACAAGATAAAGGACACAAAGAGAATTAAAAAAAATGTTTAGCTGAGTGACAGGAGAAACAGTGGGACATAATTTTTCAATTTTGATTCACTGAAAACACCGTTCAAAAAGGAAAAGATTGTTCATTTCATTGCTGCTTTTAGATTCCCCCCCCCCCCCTTTCAAAATCAACTCTTCTTAAAACAGCAAAATTATAACTGAATCCATCTTCATCTAATTTAATGACAATGGAATACTACAAAGACAAATTCTCTGTCTGGGAAAAATTACTATTTTGTCGCATGTCTGCCTTAGGTGGCTGTCAAGGCTTCTTCCCCACTCTGGCACCAGTGGGGAAGTGGGGGCAGAAGTGGGGGCTGCAAAAGTACCCCAAAACCTTATCTTTCCAGGCTTTGGTAAAAAACTTCCCCCCAAAATCTTAACTTAGATTTCAGGGATAAAATTCCGCTGCCACCACCCAAGTACTGATAAGAAAATCAGGAGAGAGATCACTTGGGAAATCTCACCCCTAAAGTACAAACCAGGACACAAAAAATTAACCAATGCCAGGTTAAGAAAAGAAAAGAAAAAGAACTTCTATTATCACCACAATACTCCTGTTGCAAGCATAATGACTAGATGGAAAAGTAACAAAATAATATACTCCTGGAGGAGAAATCCACCATAGGCCAGGAGCTTAGTTACAAAAGAGAGCAAAAAGCTTTTTTAAATGCACAGATATAAGATCCCATTTCCCAAACCATAAAACAATAAAACCTAATGGATTTATCTAAACTTTACCCTACTTACAGAACAGTGAAGGGTCTATTCTTGGAGGGAGACATTCTGTCTGTCCTCCTCAGTAGATGGAGAGAAAAACTGCCCAGGACAAAGGAAGGAGAAACCAAATATTCCTTTGTCCCAGTTTGAAATTCCTACCTACCTTTCTATTGGCTGAATCTACCTGACTTAGGTAAGGTTAACCCCTTAGTTCCCAGGCTGCTGGCTAACCCCCATGATCATGACAGTGGCATTCATTTATTCGGGCCTTAAAGGTAGCCTTCAAATCTGGAGAACTGGCATTGTGCCTTTTTCTGCTTCCTTATGATGTAAAAGGAATGCTGTACAAGGATTTTAGAACTGGACAGGAAACCCTGCTTGAGTTTTTTAACATTAAAAATTTAGGTCCTGTCTGGGGTTGTGTATACACTTTAAGAAAATGCTAAACACTGACTATGCTATTATGGAGGCAGCTTCACTACTACCAACAATAGTGAAAGTGGGAAGTTCCTAGTCCACCACAAAAAGTCAATACCAGATGTAATAAAGTAGATGTGTTTATCATTTGTTTCACAAGAATACACACACACACACAACTGGTCAGTGTTGTTTATGTGAAAGAGTTCTCCTTTCATTGAAAGGAGAAAAAAATGTCAAGGCACACTAATATTAACGGAATGGGAAGCAAACTATTTTGTTCACTCCACTTCGTGCTTGGAGACTGATTTAAATTCACGATGAATGCTTCTCTTAATGATATTATCCATTTAATACAACCATTAGAAAACTATAAAATTAGCATAAGGGGTAAAACCTCACAGAACTGGAATGGAGTTATTCTGCTAAATTAATAATAGGCAACTAAACAGATGCCTTTCATTAAAAGTAACTATAAATTCAATCAAGTCTGTCATTTGGATCAATCTATATAACTTCAATAATGTTTCAGTAAAAATTCAGCAAAGACTGTCAGAGACAGAAGAGAGAGAAAAATAATTGTACAGTCAGAGATTTCCTGCCAGCACACTGAAGTCATTGTCTTGAAGAACATGACACACATTTTTCTACCACTGTAACTGTCAGATTCAGTAGACTGGGCAATTGTTGTTCAAGACAAATGGAAATCTATTTATGGGCAGTGGCTGAAGCTATTAATTTCAGCAATGTGGTACATGCTGTATGCACATGTAGATCTTCCCAAACTCGTTAGTAAATATGTGCAAGCTTCTATGAATTTTTGACTAAACTGAATGTTTTCAGGTGAGTGCTGAGAGCCACAACACAACAGTAAAACTAGCAGGAATATTATCTGTGTAAATATTTGCAAGAAGGTGCTCATGGCAAGTTTATCACAGCAGCACAAAAGGTGAAACTGCAGAATGCCAGACAGCCTACCAATTATTGAGATATGTTCCCATTTTGTAATCAACCAAAACTTTATCCAAGATAATTAAAACTTTAATTAACTATTAGCATTTTGGACACATTTCTGTTTCAAGTAATCATTAACCATATGGGCCATTAACAGTTTAAAACATCTGTCCTTCCTCACAGGATTCAAATACAGTCAGGCTGAGATTTTCAAACATAGGCACCTCAAGCTGGGTGCTTAAATCCACATTTAAGTGCCTAAGTCAATGGCTGATTTTCAAAACTGCTGAGTATCCAACAGCTCTCACTGAAACCAGATAGGTACCCAGCACTTCTGAAGATCAGGCCACTTTATTCAGACACGTAAATACAGATTTAGGCATGACTGAAAATCTTGGCCTATGTAGATTAGGGCTGCTGGGTTAGGAAGTTAATCATTCAAATTAGGAGCATCTCATTTAAAACAAACATGTGTGCAACACATAATGGGCATGAAGGTTAAAAGAAAACATGCGTATGATTACCTTTGCCTTGCGAAAATGGTAGACTATCAGCATGCTTATGAAGTCCAACAGCATACAGAATGTTTGGAATGAGATGATAGCAAGCCGTAAATACTTGTCCTCCTGTGCATAGCAGGGAGTATCATCTGTACAGTAAGAACATCCTTCCCTGCAGGGTAGGCAGGTGTAGACTTCCTCAGATATCTTGCCTCCAGAGAAGTGATTATCTGTATCTTTCTCTGAAAGTATCAAATGGGGAGGGGTGTGTGTGAGTAAACCAACTTTAATTCCATGGCACAGGAGTTCACACATACAGGAGCAAAACACTTCTCTAGTGACCTCTCTCTCTGCCCCACCCCCACACACAGCCCCATTTTCCCCTCACTGATTTACAGCATAACTAGCAGGGATTGAGCCAATCAGTTTACCTGGGAAATGCAATCCAGTTTAGACATGAGAGGAGGGTGATTTTACATGCCAAATGTTTTCTGATGATTTTTAAAATGGGTTCATATTAAAAAGTAAGTTCTGTGAAGGCAACCAGTAAATGACAGAATTGATCACATCAGAAGTCTGGCACCTTCGAAAAAGAAAATGTATACGTTTATATTCGTCTTCCTGGAATGTGGAAGGTAAGTTGCTGCTGGCAGTGAGCTTGGTGGGAGAGTGGGGGGTCCAGGCCGTATGGTACCTGCCCAGCTGCTTTCAGGGCCACAGTGTGGCTGCTCCTGGGTCCGGGGGCCCCCTGAATCCCTCTGCCCTCTCTTTCCCCCTCAATGCCCTCTGGCTCTCAGAGCCCCCTGCCCCATTCAGCCCCGTGCTGACTGTCCCTCTCAGACTCCCCACATATCACTGCCCCGCTCCCAGCACCCACACTCCTTGCAAGCCCTGGGCACTGGCAGCAACTTCCCTCTGCCCTAGGTGGAGACTTGCAGCCAGCCTTGTGGGTAGCAGCTTGGGACAGACCCTGCCCTGAACACAGGCTGCCCAGGGAGCCTAGGGTTGCCAGGTGTCCAGTATTCTACTGGACAGTCCGGTTTTTGCACCCTCTGTCCAGTAAAAAATTCAGAAAATACTGGACATGTGCAATATCTGGTATTTTCTGTTTTTCTGGCTGGGCGCTAGACGGAAGCCTGGTGGGGGCGGGGGGAGTGGCTGGGAGGTGGGGCCATGATCGGTGCTGAGAGCCTGTGGTAGCATGCAAAAGCCTGGCGGGGGTCAAGGGAGTAGCTGGGACTGGTTTCTGCACACAACCACAGGCTCCAAGCACCAACTGCGGACCCACCTCCCAGCTGGAAGCCTGTGGTTGCGTGCAGAAGCCGAGTGGGGGGAGTGGCTGGAAGTCCCAGGCTGGGAGGCGGGGCCGAGAAAGGCACTGGGAGCCTCTGGTTGTGTGCAGAAGCTGGGCAGGAGCGGGGGAGTGGCTGGGAGGCGGGGCGCAATCGGTGCTAGGAGCCCTTAGCTGATCGCGTCTAAAGAGGAGTGACGCCTTGGGGAGGAGGAAAAGCCCTGTCCTCTTGTGGTTTTTTTTAAATATATCTTTTACTTGTCTGGAAGTCAAAGAAGAGTTTTTGAAAAATAAGAAATTGATATAAGCTGCACAATCTAATGCAAAATATATGATGTAGGATATAGACTGTTGATTGTTTATAATAAAGTTAAGTATTAAACATAGGACGTGTTCAGTGTGGGTGTTTTTGTTTTTGTTTTGTTTTTGCTCGACAAATTTTTAGCCCGTGTGTTCGGTACTTTTTGGGAGACCATCTGACAACCCTAGGAGCAGCACTCCCTGGAGAAGAAAAGTTTTAGCTTCTCCCCATAAGGTGGGGGACACTGCTTGGAAGCAGGGCTCGGGGTCCCAGCAAGTACAGACCCTGATTTTGTATTGTTCCTTAATTCCATAAAGATATTATCTCTGGAATTCATTACCCCCAAATTATATAAACTCCTATTTAAGTTACACTTGTTCAGCACACTACAAGATGAAGAACTTGTTCTTGGTTTCTATATACAATTTTCATTCACAAACACAAACCGTAAGAGTAGAACAGGGCTGGCCCACAACATTTTGGCACCTGAAGAGGGGAGCTCAAATGATGCCCCCATGCCCTTGCTTGGGCCAAAACTTTGAAATATCTTAATTCTGCCTTCTTCCTGTTCTACTCCTCTCATGGTACTGCAGAGAGAATACATATGCACCCGCAGCAGACACAATTTTCTACACTCTGGGTCCTAGTGGCGCCTTCCCTCCCACAGTCTGGCACCTGAGGCGGCCACCTCAGTTCGCCTCATGGTAAGGCCAGTCCTGGAGTAGAAAGTCTTGTAAGTATATTCCCATTTTGTTTATGTAAATCAGTGATTCCCAGTTTTTTCCATACTGTAAACTCCTTTTCCACTCCGTGAAACCTTCCTGAATGACCTTCTATTCAGGTAGAATCTTTTGCTGGGACTCTTCCCTCCACCCCCAGTCAAATTTAGCAATATAGCAAGAGTATGCAGGTCATGACCCACAGACAACGGTTTGCAACCCACAAAGAGCCAAGGCTTGGCAGTAGAGAATCTGAAGTATATATACTTCAGGCACACTCTCATACTCTTCAGATGTATCTTTACAGTGCTGTCTTAAATCCATGCCTCACTGATTATACTGTTGTTTATATCTGTGTTAGGGGGCCATATGGCTATGCGTATTACACATCGCTAAATGAATCCTGCAATGTTGATGCACCCATAGTATATAACAGTTGAAGAAACCAAATGAACTTCTGCAAAACTTGTTAGCAGCATAGTGGCAAGTTGGGAATTTCAGGAGTTATGAGGAAGAATTTACAGGCCGATTTAGCCTCTGCATAGTAGATACAGGCAGACAGTAATACTGCAAATGAACTACAGAATTAAATGGAGTAAAGTAGAAAGGAAAAGGAGAGATGTACAAAAAAATAGTAAACTGAATTTACTTGAAGTGCTAAATACTAACTCTAGGTAGGATTTCATAAAAAAAAAACCTTGGGGAAAATTTGATGCAAGCTCCAAGCAATTTAGCATCAATATAAATGTGACATCTTTCATCAGTTTTCATAAGAGCAGAGAATTGCTCCAGTATCTTCCATCAAAATTACCCTGCTGCAGCAATGTGCGCAATATGATCTGCATCAGTTGATTCCTTCTTCATCTCAGTGGTGCTGTATATGTATATGGCTAGTAAAGCACTTTTGGAACCTATAGAATGAAATTCTCCCCACAGCAAAAAATATCTGTTAGGATAATTCTCTCTTTTTTTTCCCCAGGTGTGTGAGATCATGTGCACATTTGCATACATAGGCTAAGGTCAGGTCTATACTGGGGAAGAAATTTGATTTAAGATACCCAACTCCAGCTACTAAAATAATGTAGGTGGAGTTGATGTACCTTAAATTGAATTTCTCTAGCACCCCTATTGTGGGAGGTTGATGGCAGAAACCCTCCCTCACTTTCCCTTACTCCTTGCAACCCCTTAGATACCGGTGTTGACAAAGGTGACATCAACGGTCGATTTAGCGAGTCCTTATTAGACTCGCTAAATCGAACCCTGAAATATCGATCTTCGGGTAAGTATAAACAAAGTTTTAGTCTGTAGAAGATCAGCACAGAATGTATACATTATGAATCTCATCATTTTGTCTTAATCAGAGTTTTAGCTTTCCAACTCAATAACATCACTGTAATATCTTGATATTCGCAATAGGGTTGTCAAGTGATTAAAAGTAATCACAATTAATAACATGATTTTAAAAATTACTCAGGCTGTTAAACAATGTAATGTCACGTATTTAAATAGTTTGGATGTGTTCTATATTTTCAAATATATTTATTTCAATTACAACAAGAATACAAAGTATACAGTGTTCATTTTAAATTTATTTTTTATTATAAATATTTCCACTGTAAAGGGCAAAACAAAGGAATATTTTTCAGTTTACCTAATACAAATACTATAGTGCAATCTCTTTATCATTAAAGATTACTTTAAAAATGTAGAATGCAGTGTAAAAATTGCACTCAAAATAAAACAATATAAAGTGTTAGAGCCTACAAGTCCACTCATTCCTACTTCCTGTTCAGCCAATCACTCACACAACTAAGTTTGTTTATATTTGCATGAGATAATGTTGCCCACATCTTATTTACACTGTCACCCGGAAGTGAGAACAGGTGTTTGCATGGAACTGTTGTAGCCATCAACAAAAGATATTTACTTGTCAGGTATCTGAAAGATTCAGATGTCCCTTCATGCATCACCCATCACTCCAGAGATTACATGTCCATGCTGATGACAAGTTCTGCTCACTAACAAGCCAAAGCAGTGCAGACTGACACACACTCCTTTTCATCATCTGAGTAAGATGCCACCAGGAGAAGGTTGATTTTCTATTTTGGTGGTTTACGTTTTGTAGAGACATTGTCCTTTTAAGACTTCTGAAAACAGGCTCCACATCTTTTCCCTCTCCGATTTTGGAAGACACTTCATATTCTTAAGGGTAAAGTGCAGTAGCTATCCTGAGAAATCTCACACTGGTATCTTCTTTGTGTTTTGTCAAATCTGCTGTGAAAGTGTTCTTAAAATAAACAGCATGTGCTGAGCCATCATCCTAGACTGCAATGTCATGAACTATATGGCAGAATGCTAGTAAAGCAGAGCAGGAGACATACAATTCTCCCCTAAAAAGTTCAGTCATAAATTTAATTAATACATTATTATTTTTAACAAGCGTTATTAGCATGCAAGCACCATGACCAAAGCATGAATGGACATATAAACTTTTAGCATATTTGGCACGTAAATACCTTGCAATGCCAGCTACAAAAGTATCATGCAAACGCCTGTTTTCACTTTCAAGAAGATAATATAAACAAGAAGTGGGCAGCATTATCTCCTATAAATGTAAACAGACTTGTTTCTCCTAGTAATTGACTGAACAAAAAGTAGGACTGAAAGGATTGTAGACTCTAAAGTTTTACATTGTTTTGGTTCTGAGTGCAGTTATGTGACAAAAAAATTACATTCCATGATACAGTGTTCACTCTGCGGTACTTGTATGAGGTAAACTGAAAAATACTATTTCTTTTATCGCTTTTACAGTGCAAATACAGAGCCCTGCCTCTCTTCCCATGCCTTCCTCTGAGCACCCCCCATGCCCACTCCTCTCCCTCCCTCCTTCCCTCCCTTCCTCGCGGTACCTCCTGCATGCTGCTGAACAGT